ACTCCTCCTCTTGTCAAGATCACTTCCTGCAAAATCAGCATCGACAAACCCATATATGGTAAGGGTACTCCTGCCAAATACCAATGCCCGGTCCCTAGTACCCCTCAGGTACCTAAGGATCCACTTTACCGCCTCCCAGTGCATCACTCCAGGATTGCTCATGAACCGACTGACTACTCCCACTGCATGTGCTATGTCTGGTCGGATGCAGACCATAGCGTACATCAGGCTCCCTATAGCCGAAGCATAAGGCGTAACTCTCATCTTATATTTTTCAGAGTTATCCTGGGCGAATCCTTGTTAGACAACTTGAATTGGCTTCCCAATGGCACTCGAACCGGCTTTGCAATATTCATATTGAATCTGCACAACACCTTCTCAATATAATCAGATTGAGAAAGCCAAAGTTTACCAGCATTCCTGTCCCTCGTGATTTTCATGCCCAGTATCTGTCTCGCTTCTCCTAGATCCTTCATATCAAATCTTCTTGATAGCTGATCCTTGAGCCTCTCGATCTCCTTGACATCTGATCCTGCTATCAGCATGTCATCCACATATAGCAGTAAAATAATGAAGGAGTTACCGAACCTTTTCACATACAACAATGATCAGCATTACACCTGGAGTATCCAATCTCCAGCATGAAATTATCAAATTTTCGATACCACTGTCGAGGAGCCTGTTTCAGTCCGTACAAGCTCTTCTTTAGGCGGCAGACCTGCTGATCATTTCATCTATACCCCTCTGGCTGCACCATGTAAATTTCTTCTTCGAGATCCCCATGCAGAAAGGCCGTCTTCACATCTAACTGTTGCAACTCCAAATTTTCCGCCGCTACGATGCTTAACACTAAACGAATAGTGGTTAACTTAACAACAGGTGTAAAAACATCGGTAAAGTCAATACCGTATCTCTGTTGGAATCCCTTTACTACAAGTCTGGCCTTGTACCGTTTTGTTCCATTTGATTCCTCCTTGACCCGATAGACCCATCTGTTTTGAAGAGCCTTCTTTCCTTGTGGGAGATCACACAAATCCCATGTGTGGTTCTTCTTCAACGAGTTCATCTCGTCGTCCATCGCAAGCTCCCACTTGCTCTTGTGGGCATCTTTAACTGCCTCTGCATAACAGTCGGGTTCCCCAGAATCAGATAAAAGTAGGTAATAAAGAGAAGGGGAGTACCTATCCGGAGCCCTTCTCATCCTCGGTTCTCGGCCTAGTGCCAGAGGCGTGCTGCTCTCAGCAATCGGTTCATTCGAATCTGGTTCTGCCTCTTCTTCTGTACGCTCGATCTCATCTATCTGAGCTCCCACTGAATCTGCTGGTCTCATGATTCCAGTATTTGAAATATCGAGACCAACATACTCCTGCATGGTCTTGTCATCGTCTGGGTATTTCTTCCGGTCTTTGTACATTATGCCTTCATTGAACACCACATTACGACTGCGAATAATTTTCCGATT